ACCTCTGCCCCTCCTCCGATAGACAGAGATCGGAGCAAAAACGACTGGCAACCCTATCGAAATTCGTAACCCTCGCGACTCGAAGACCCCGCCCAAAGACGAAGTCGTCTTCCGAGGAGAATCCAACCACCTGAGATATCATTTTTCGACAGGAACCAGGACGCTCGGACCGCACGACGGCAGCCGCACGGTGGTGCGGAGCCCCCGCCAAGGAGGAGGCCGACGGGATTAAGAAGCTAGGGTTTCTGGGGCACCGAGATTTTAGAGAGAAGTTTCGAGAGAAGGTTGACTCTTTCTATTGAGTTACTTCTAGAATTGATTTAAAAATAAAATCTTCAATATGATGAATAAAAATCTCCGAAGATCCGAACCAAACCATACCGAATCGAACCGTCCCAATAGTCCTGAATACCGAACCGAGCCGAACCGAAAAATAAAAATCTCTGAACCGAACCGAACTGAATATTTGGTACAGTTTCGGAGATCGAATTTTGGGATCTCCAAAGGTTGGTACGATTTTGGAGATTTATCAATCTCCGAACCGTATCGACCCACGCTCACCCCTACTAAAGATGGTTGTTCTCTATAGAGGATGTTGATAGTTATTATCGGTTGATGGCAGTTTTTATTTTATATATTTCATAGAAATTCGTTGGGTCATTTTACTGAATCTCTTTCAAGTTGTAACTTCTCTCACCAAACGATTAGAAGAAAACTTGTCAACAATTTTTCTTGCGCATAAAGAAGGCCTCATTCATCTTCCAACCTTCGGTCCCAAGACTTATATATATAATCTACTAGTTTGATTCTGTTGTGCACAGCACAGCCGACTCAAATTAGTTTTTATTTAATTTTTAAATTAATATATATCATCAAGTCGTATATTCATAAAAACATTTTCAACTAATGTTCTATAATATATTATTATAAATTAATAATAACTTAAAAGTTCAATGAAAATTGAAATATATTGCTATCTATAAGGTGTCATCATAATAACCAATTGGTAAAGTGAAAGATGGTAAGTAATTTTCTTATGAAGAAATCTCAAAAGGTACGGTGTTATGAGATCTAAGATCATTTTTTGCGATAGAGCTGCAAGTATTTGAATTTCCCTTTCTTTTTGTCCATATGTTATTGATCCATTTTTCCATGTTTATTATCTGGTGCTTTTTGTTGCATGAATATACAATTACTTATGTAGCTTTTTCAATAAGTTTTTATATTCTTTTATCGCACATAATATTTGACATGTTTACAGATACATGGTAAGTTGAATTCTTATTAGAAATTTTAAGGAGTATTATTATTATTTTTTTTTCATTGTTTGATTAGCTCTCTTATATTTTAGTAAATCGTTGAATCTTATGTAATTAACTAACATTGAACTATGCAATTAGCAATTTTTCTTTTTTTTTAAATTGTCTACCTTAACTTTTACAGTGTCAAAATGAAAATATTGTTCACTCACCTATTCGCGGTCACATGCAAATATAAATAAGGCAGGCTAAGAAAAGTGCTTCCGAGGTCCATGGAATATGAGTAGAATTGGAACATCATTACTTTAATTAAGTAAAAACATGAATCAATGAATTGAATATTTGCAATGATCAACACTAAGAAGTATCAAACATTTTCTTTTTATAGCCCATACAACTGAGTTCAGTTAAATAAATTAACACTTCTACCATCTGAAGTCAATTATTAGACAAAAATATAAATAAAAGAAATTTCCTTTCTCCTTCTTATACCAGACAATTTTTTTTTTTTTTTATGTTGAATTAACAATAGAAGACAAATACATTCAAAATGCAATTTTGCTTTCATGTTCATTAATCTGAGAGTCTCAGCCTTTTCGCCTTAGTCGCTTCAATCCAATGGAGAGTTTCTAATATCCCTTCATCTTTCTCATCGGGTTCTTTAGGCTACAAGTAAGAGTCCATATATGAAGCGGGATGGAAAACAAGAAATGAAAACTACAATTATTATAATTTCAATGTAGCCCCAACATTTTTCTCGTCTGGCTCTTGAA